AAAACGTGATTGAAAAAGGTTGCGGTATTTGTAAACAACATTTGTAAACATATCAGTGACAGCTAGGAAAAATAATCTTGATCCGAACAGCTGTTCGTTATTTCATAGATGATTATGCAATAAAAATTGGACGAAAACTTGACATAAATCGCACAAAACTACATTTTTGAACGTTCGTAATATTATTTACAAAGTAGTGAGGCCATATTTTAATGGCTAAAGACAATCTTGCCAATCCAGTGAATACATTAAAATGACTTGGATCTTGATAGGTACTCTCGTTTTCCAGGAGAAGATAGCGTAAAATGCCATCTTGAGTGTTACAGACAAAGGGAAAGACAGACAGACAGACAGAAATTGAGATAAGACTCGTTTCTGCTTATTTAATGTATAAGACGTAAAAATAACCTAAAAATATATAATTCTGAGCAATGTACAGACAAAACTCTAATTTTATTTATATAGATAAACAGAATAAATAACGTTCACGCCTATAAATATAAAAGTTTTTAGGCGTACCTACCACCACGTGAGCACAAAACAATATACAGCTGTCCGTGTGAAAAGCATGCATTTCCTAAATTTAAGCCGGCGATAATTAGGGATTGGCCTTGTGCCTAATATTGGTGATTGCGAAAGCAAGACACAAAGGAAATTGTAGTCACTTGAATTCAAAGGGTAATTTGGATGAAATCATCAGTATTCTTGGGTATAAGACTATTTCTCCTTTAACCTTACCACTGATGATTGTTGCTTCGATCAAGTTTGGTGCCATTTTTTTAATCGTCAGTCTGGTTCCGTCGCACAGCTTGGGCGGATTCAAGTTTTGCATTAGTATTATTGGAGTTCCTTCTTTTAATGACAATAATATGGTGGGTTAGTGACAAATTGGGAGGTATTTGAACTATCAAGATGGTTTTAGTGCTAATAGCTTGAAACTAAATAGTTCAAAGACACAAATAATAAACTTTCAAACAATGCAAAATAAAACACTTGTCTCGTTTGATTTACCCTATGATGGAGTTGTTTTGTCACTTATAAAAGCCACAAGTCTTTTGAGCATAAACATAGACCAAAATGTAACCTGGAGTCTTGATTTCCTCACCATTTAATAGTTGTTTGCAAAAACATTAAGGATTCTCCGAATTTATAGTCATAAGTCATACGTCGTTTATCTTGTTCGCTGCTGACCGCTAGATGCCGGGACGGCGCCAGGATAATAATAATAATAAATAATAATAAATCTTTATTTCTCCACAAGTAATACAATAAAATTACAAAGATCTATAAAAACAAATTATTTTACAATGTAATCAAAACTTATTGTTAATTAATTAAATAAAAACAGTTTGCTTTAACTTGCGAAGAAATATACACACCCAAAGAAGATTAAAACTTCTGTGTGTGGGCGGGAGTCTCAACTAATACTTAACAATATCAAAAGATTCTCTGAAAAGGGTAACAAAATGAATTATAAATTTAATTTACCTTTAGTCCAATAGCTTTTGTGGAAAAGACAACAAAGAAAACATAATTCACCAATATCTAGGAAGTAAAACGAAAATTATGTAACTATAATAATGAGAACATTTTAAGAAATTGAAGAAAACAATGAAAACCCAGACTCTGAAATACAGATACTTACAAAGATAAAGCAAATACTCTGAGCTAGACATGACTTGCTAATTTTATTAAGAATACAACTGTTCTATTTCATCATATGACTTGGTTAATAGCCACTTTTTCAAAGATTTCTTAAAAACACTAAATGACCTACTCTGCTTTACAATTGATAAATAAATAAAACACTTCTTAAACAGGGTACAGTTTGGTTTGGGTAAACGTAGAATGTTTTGCGCAGTTTGTCTAGTTGAATAATTGTGAATGTTATCAACTGTTGGTCCTGCATTACCACTATTTGAAAAATATAGTCAATACTTTAAAAATATACAGGGTGATTGATATAAGTGTGCCAGCCGTTTTATTCGAAAACTATAAGAGATATCAAAAAAAGTTAAAAGGTAAGTGCCTTGGATTTTTTATTAAAAAAATTATAGTCAAGTAAAAAAAATTATTTTAGCCGCCATTTTTCCAATATGGCCGCCAACTTTGATTTTTCTTATGGAACACCCTGTATTTTATGATGTATTCTGGTAGAAAAAGTAATTTTAAGACGATTTTATTCTTGTGATTTTTTTCATAAACCTAACCGTTTCAATGATAATAATGGTTTAAGTTGTGCAATTTTGAATGGTTTTCGAGCAAAACGGGTGGCATGCTTGCTTAGGCCTTTATCGAAACTCTTTCTCATGCAGAAATTTCAAAACTTTAACCATTATTATCTTCAAAACGGTTAGGTTTATGAAAAAAATCACAAGAATAAAATCGTCTTAAAATTACTTTTTCTACCAGAATACATCATAAAATACAGGATGTTCCGTAAGAAAAATCAAAGTTGGCGGCCATATTGGAAAAATGGTGGTTAAAATAATTTTTTTGTTTTTTTAAATAAAAAATCCAAGGCACTTACCATTTAACTTTTTTGATATCTCTTATAGTTTTCGAATAAAACGGCTGGCACACTTATATCAATCACCCTGTATAAATATCTGAAGGGAAGGATATTATGAATTACAAATAAAGGTAGAGAATGAGAATAAAAATTTACATTACATATTAATCTGACAAATTTCTTCTGTAAAGTTATTAAAGATTTTAAATTCGACACATAGGCACCTCCATACAAAGAAATTCCATATTCAAGCTTAGAATTGATTAAAGAGTGGTAAACCTGTTTTAAGATGGGAAGAGGACAGCAATATTTGAGGTGGAAACAAGATCTAAGTGAGTAACGTAATGAATTTTTTAAATTATTTACATGCATCTTCCATGATAGATTTTCATCCAAAAGTACACCTAGATATTTGGTAACATTACATTGTTTTATAGAATCACATAAGAAGCAACTAGTTTTATTACAATCTGTTTTATGGAAAATTAAAGGTGGATTAAAAACATTTGACTGGGATAAAGAAAAATTGATAAAGATTGTTTTAGAAACATTTAGACAAAGTTTGTTGCAACTGAACCAAAGTGATATTTTATGTAGATCATCCTGCATTATGTGATGAAGCTCATCTAAAGTGCTTGCACAGTATGACAATGCTGTATCATCAGCAAACGCTGTTAGGCGTCCATTCTAAAGACCACTGCACAAGTCGTTGACAAAAATTAAAAATAAAATAGGACCAAGGACTGATCCTTGGGGAACACCGAAGTTAATACTTTGGATACTACTTTTGCTCTTCTTAATTTTAACCAGCTGCCTCCCAGAAAGATATGACCTAAACCATGAAAGTGGTACACCTCTTATCCCTGCTGATTCTAGTTTGTTCAAGAGCAAAACATGATCGATAGTATCAAATGCCTTACTAATATCTAAGAACAAACCAGCTGTTTTATTATGAGTTGTGCTATTTAAGTTTCCGTAAATATTTGTCAAAAAGTGTTGAAGTGCTAACTCTGTACTAAGGCCTTCTCTAAATCCAAACTGATTTGGTGAAAAAAATTTATTGTTATCTAAAAATCCAGTGAGTCTATTTTTAATAAATTTTTCTAGTAATTTTGAAAGCACAGGAAGCAGTGATATTGGGCGGTAGTTCTCTTCGTTACACTTATCTCCTTTCTTAAATATGGGAACTACTGTGGCAATTTTTAAGATATCAGGGAAACAACCGCTAGCAATACTTAAATTGAACAATTCTGTTAAAACTGGAGTGATCTCGTCACATATATTTTGAATAATAGCTGCAGAAATTAACTCATCACCTGTACTTTTGTGAGGGGAAAGAGTAATAATTAATTTTGCAACTTCATGCTCAGTGATAGGACTAAAAAAAAAAAAAAAAAAGGAGTTGAACTAACGCTCGCCGCTGCGTAAACATTGCTGCCGATTCACTGAATTACAGTAAAAACAACAGTAGTTATACTGGATGGCAATGTTCTGCAATCAAACTGGCTTTGGACATAGTACTAAGTGATTCTCATAGATAGCAGCACCACCCAGGTTGCAGTCGGCAAAGTAGTGTCGCTCTAGCAGGAAAGAGGTGGTACAAAGCCCTGTTCTAAATGACCCTGGTGGTGATTTTGGGAAAATATATTTTTTTATTGTAAGAAAAGTACATCCCCACAAGCTGCAAAGAAATATAGGACGCTCGTGACGAGCTGGCTGATCCATGGTAACGTTAAACAACAATGAACGGCGACGTTCCGGAACGTTCCTAGCTCCTGGCACCGTGGCCCGTTTGACGTTCCGGAACGTCCGTAGCAGCGAACGTGTTATTCAGCAAAATTAACATAAAATGCATTAGTTACGTCAAAAACATAATGAAATATTTACATAGTGGTGAAAACAGTTGGAGATTCCTTTTTAACTTTGCACAATTAAATCTACAGTTCTACTGGATGGATTTTGTTAAATAACGTGTCATTGTAAGGCATAAAAGTTTGAGTTGCTTTTTCATTTGATGTGTTATTTATAGCTCTGTAAGTTTCATAGTATAAAAGTTATAAAGTAACTAAGCGAAATTATGTGTTATAACAATAGCCTAACAAGCTTTGTAGATTTTTTTAATACCGATTACAAAACTTTTAATTTGGCTATTTAATATATTTTTTAAAAAGGTAAACATAAATCATTTAACAGATCTCAGCCAATGTTGGTGACAACCAAACAAATCTATGTTAAAAATAGATTTCTCAATTTAGAGCTCTCTTCAACAGCACTTCCTGTCTGTTGTGGTAAATAAGAATGAATGGACTCGAATATTGTTGTCTCGTGCATCCAAACTATTGTTATAGACCTTTCATTAGTGCTTTCATCTCCGCTTAAAATGTTTATTAAGTTAGTACATAGTGTTTGGTTGGTAGTTGTCAGTTTGCACGCATAAAACACAGTAAAAGTAATGTTTGCACAATGTTCTTCTTGTATTGTTTTATAGACACAAGTCAGCAGCACTTCACAGCTTCAATCCAGTAGCAAGTCTTCCCTGAAATCACCTAAGCAAGAAAATGTAAGAATTTGTTGGAACTAGTTGTATAAATAAGTTGTGTTTGTTGTTTTTACACTAGGCTAATAACAGTACCTTCAATTCTGCTTTGTGGTATTAACCAAGAATTAATCTATATATTAATACGCAATCGGTTTTCTTTTCACAGTCATAACTCAATAACGGCTTGATGGATTTTAAAGTTTGATGTGTCAAATTAAAGGTATTTTAACGTAGATGTGCAAATACGTCTCAGAATATTTAGAAAGGGCACCACTTAAGTATATTTATGGGCTAAAGTTTGGAAGGCGGCGCTCTCTGTTGACATTTTATCAAACTCATTTCCCTTTGTTTACAAATAACATATGGACGTAGTTTGAAATAGTTTTAAGGTTAACCACAGACTGCAGGACTTATTACTTCCAGAGCAAAGCCGGAGTTTTATATTTTTATTTAAACATGTGTTAAACTAAAGAGTGACCTAGCAAGACCAAACAAAAATTGTTTGTAATAGTTGAATTTATTTACAGACCGGGGGTTTCGGTTAGCGTCGATTTTGATTTTATTTACAACAAAACTAGCCTGGGTAGGGTTTCGTTATTAGTGTTAACCTGGATCTGATTACCGAAGAGAGTTGGTACTCTAGCGATATCAACATTTCTCTTCCTTGTAAACAATACTCTTACGGTCTTATACATGGAAAATAAACAGATTTCTTTCTTTCTTTCTTTATTCATTGGATTGACCTTAGACCTTCCTGGTTGCACCACCTTTCCACTATCGGCAATGCCCTCTGCATGAGTTCCAGGCAAGTGTTTCCTCTTATTAGGACAACAATGTCGTCAGCATATCCTTGAGCGTACATACCCTGTGCATTGATCTTGGACAGGAGATCGTCGACCACCAGGTTCCATAGATTTGGTGACAAGACGCCACCCTGTCGACACCCTCTTTGGTCCTTGACCTCTCTCACCGTCCCACACAGAGAAGCTTGCGCTCTCCTACTTTCGAGCATGTTGCCACCCACCTCACAACAGTGCTTTCTACATTTCTTGATACCAGCTTTGATACAATCGAGCGAGTACTAGTGTTGTCAAAAGCTCCTTCTATATCAAGAAATGCAGCTACCGCTATTTCCTTGTTCGAGATAGAATTTTCAATCTTGCAAACCAGCGCATTGCAGGGCTGTTTCGCATGACTTTCCTTTCTGATAGGTGTGTTGGTTCGGGTGTAAAGGACGGCTTACAAGGACCCTATCCTTTATTCGTCCATCCACTAATTTCTCCATGGTCTTCAGGAGAAACGATGTAAGGCTGATTGGTCTAAAAGCCTTAGGCACAGCATATGTGTCCCTTCCAGGCTTCGGTATGAATACCACCCTTGAGGTCCTCCATGCTGTTGGTATAACTCCACTGGCTAAGTTTGTGCATGCTTCATATTCACATAGTTGGCTCTGGCTGAAAGGTCATGCACATTCAGTTTCTTATAGGCTAAGTTGCATGTACTCCATACAACAATATATACAAATTATCGTCAAAAAATATATTTCCCACCACCGTTGTAAATCTGAACCTCTTTTATTTAATAGATATTTGTTGTCCAAACTCTAATTGAGTTCAGCTAAAAATGAGTGGGCTAAGCAATGCATTTTATGATTAAAGATTTATTTGTATGCAGGGTGAAAGGTGACAAGCAATTATTTATAGAGGTTTTATTTCACCACAGTGTGTTATTTATTAGCCAGTATAAACTGCCACAGCTTTTTCTAAAGTAGAGAAATTCACTATGCCTTCATGAAATAATACTAAAGTATCTTTCTTCGAACCTAAAATGTGCTGTAGAACTTGCCTAGTTTAAAATCATTACTAGGCGTCTTAAAAACCACTTACAACCAATAGAATTCTACAAGATTGTGTTGTGTAAATTATTACTTATGCTCTAGACAAAATGGAGGGAAAAACACAATGAATTGGTGCAGACAATAAAAGCAGCTCGGATGCCACCGGGGCAGGCTCCTGTCATCAAGCTGTCTGACCAGGAGGCCTGCCCGTACTGTGAAAGGTCCTTCGGGCCTAAGGCCTACGACAGACATCTGGAGTGGTGTAAAGAGAAGATGACCAGGATACAACCTAAGAGTCCTGCTAGTCAGAGAGCCAAGGAGCGGCTAGAGGCCAGAACTAAGGTAAAGCAACATGGCGACAAGTACGTTTGGACCTCAATATCTTAAACTCAAGAGGAACAAAATTTGAGCTATCAGGTTTTCAAGTTGGCAAGGTTGAGTTATCAAGGTGTCAAACTGAAAATTGTATATACTAAGGTGTTAAATTCATTCTGACAGTTAATTATGTTATGTCATGACCTTCATAACTCTACTTTCCCATGTTTAACATTTATAACTCGAGCTCTTAAGTTATTTATACATACTGAAGGATAACTTTACTATCATGATCAAACCATTTTTAATGCATAAACAGTACAGTATTAATTATGCAGCAATGGTAATTTAGGATAAACACAAGTCTAACTTTTTGTGCTGTAAAAACCAAAATGATACAAAAAAATTTAGATCTGTTCTTATTATTCAGGTCTTGAATTCTCCTGGAAGACTCCTTGAACTTTTTAAACCATATTTAGTACACATCCTGGTACAATTTGTCAGTTTGTATTCTAACCATGAAATCTTAAAGTGTTCAGTTGTTTCTTTGAACATCAAATATATCAATTGTTGGATAATTTGAATACTTTGGGTCTTCATTCTGTAGAGATAAGAATGATCTGTAGCAAAAGAAAAGAGAGAGAGAGAGAAATCATTTAGTCAGGTCTCTTATTTTATGGTAAATAATATTAACAATTTATCTGCACATTGTTCACAGTATCGAGCCCCTCCAGTTGGCAAAGCCAAGCGTTCAGCATCAAGAGACAAAATACAACCTGAAACTTCTCCCCATGTGATTCACACTCCCCTTACTCAGAGGAAAACCTACAACAAAACAAGTTAGTATCTGAATATATATATATATATATATATATATATATATATATATATATATATATATATACTAGCAGAGTACCCATCCTTCGTACGGGGTTGGCATATAAGTATAAAATGCTTATTGCAGTTATATTCAAGCTTTGCGTTTGCAATGGGGGAGGACACAGTTTGGTAAAATTTGGTTGAATAAATTTGTAAAGTGAAATTGATATGAATTGTAAAATATAAGATTGAAAATGTCTAGTACATGTTTATTGAAGGTAACAGTGGATTGTAATAATTATAATGTTGTTTTTTAAATATGTATAAACAAACAAAACATATGATTTGAATGACATAGAAATATACAGTCTTTTTGATAATTAACACATTGGGTGCTGATGACGGGAATTCCCGCCATTGCTTAACATTGAAATAAATGCAATTTTCATGTTCAAACATGTCAACGGCACTTTAAGTGTTAAATGCATATATACAGGGTGAATAAAAAGTCAAGACCCCCCCTTCTAATATTTTTCCAAGTAAATATACAGATATATCCTTTTGGTGGTCGAGCAATCTTAGCAGGAAGTTTTACAAAAACTTAAAGAATGGTGAAAACTAGAGGTCGCCATCTCTTCTCTATCCAAAATGGTAGCCCGTCAAATGTTGTGGAAAATCGATGGTAAAATTGTTAATATTGGCTGCCATTTTGGATAGGGAAGAGATAGCGAGCTCTGGTTTTCACCATTCTTCAAGTTTTTTTTAACACTTCAAAATGAGGTGTCACTTGATAGGGGGTTTCTATTGAAACATTTTTAGTTGTCCCCCGAATCCCCCATTTTGGGGGGACACTCAAAAATTTTGAATGTAAACCCCCTTCAAGTGACACCTCATTTTGAAGTGTTTACAAAAACTTAAAGAATGGTGAAAACCAGAGCTCGCGATCTCTTCTCTATCCAAAATGGCAGCCAATATTAACAATTTTACCATCGATTTTCCACAACATTTGACGGGCTACCATTTTGGGTAGAGAAGAGATGGCGACCTCTAGTTTTCACCATTCTTTAAGTTTTTGTAAACACTTCAAAATGAGGTGTCACTTAAAGGGGATTTACATTTAAAATATTTGAGTTGCCCCCCAAATCCCCCCTTTTGGGGGGACATTCAAAAATTTCAAAATGATAAAATGAAACTTCCTGCTAAGATTGCTCGACCACCAAAAGGATATCTCTGTATATTTACTTGGAAAAATAATAGAGGGGGGGGTCTTGACTTTTTATTCACCCTGTATAAATGATGTGTTTTTACACATTCCGGCCCCTTTGAAATACTAAACCTGGTTTATTTCAATTAATTTCTTGAGTTGGTAAAGGGAACAGTTTTGAAATAGACCTCTTAATAAGTCCATCCTTTGTTTTTAGGGTCGCAACTCGCACAAAATTGTCTTTTCCTGGGTGCACTGCGATCACTCGTCCAATTTTCCAAGTACAAGGTGGTAAATTGTCGTCTTGAATAAGCATTATATCGTCAATTTTTATGTTAGGTCTTGATGTATTCCACCTTGACTTTTTCTGCAGTTGGTTCAGATATTCCTTGCACCATCGGTTCCAAAAATGCTGTGAGAGTTGTTGAACATGTTGCCATCGAAAAAGTCTATTTAATTTCAGATCTTTAAGATTAGGTTCCGGAACACTGGTGAAAGAAGTTCCAATAAGGAAATGAGCAGGTGTAAAGGGCGTAAAATCATTTGGATCGCTGGATAAAGGTGTCAAAGGGCGTGAATTGACACAAGCTTCTATTTGTACTAATAAAGTGTACATTTCATTGAAGGTTAATTTTGTATTTTGAACTACTCGCTTAAGGTGGTATTTCACTAAACACACTCCAGCTTCCCAAAGCCCTCCGAAATTTGGTGAATGAGGGGGGATGAAACTCCAAGTGATCCCTTGTGCAGCCAAACTTGACAGAACTTGGCTGTTGTGATCATCTGAACACCACAAATGTTTAAACTCTTGTAGTTCCTTGTCCGCACCAACAAATGTTTTAGCATTATCCGAGTAAATTTTGTATGGTTGACCTCTGCGAGATACAAACCGCCTTAAGGCAGCAAGGAACGAATTTGTCGTTAAATCCTCAACTAGTTTAAGGTGAATGGCCTTTGTGGTAAAACACACAAACAGAGAAACGTATGCTTTTGTAACCTTAGTCCTTTTGTTGTTGCTTGCATGTATATATACAGGTCCAAAATAATCTAATCCACAATGGGAGAATGGCCTTGAAGGTAGAACTCTGTTTTGAGGTAGTTGACCCTTTAGTTGATTGGTAGCCTTAGGTTTAGTCTTAAAGCATTTTTTCAGGCATTTGTGAACCACACTTCTGACTAAACTTCTGCCATTTAATGGCCAGTAAGTTTCTCGAAGGGAACTTAATAAAAGTTGTGGTCCTGCATGTTATATTTGAACATGTAGATCTTCTGCAATCAACCGTGTTAGCCTATGTTTGTGATCGAGAATAATCGGATATTTATTATCAACACTTAAAGATGAATGTTTTAGTTGACCACCTACTCTGATCAGCCCTTAGTCATCAAGAAAAAGGATTTAGCTGTAAGAGTTTGCTTGGTTTATCAACAGAATTGTTTTCCTTCAATGTTTTCAGTTCATGGGAGAATGATTGAGATGGAGCTAGTTTTAAAAGAGAAAGTCTTGAATCATTTATTTCTGAACATGTAAGGGAACCTGTGAGACAATCTTCGGATTTAGTGTTTTTATAAAACCTTAGATAATATACTACAACTCGTAAAAGTTTCTGAAATGATGAATACTTGCTAAATATATAATGACCATGAGAGACGGCTGTTACATTATTTGCCTTACGCAATTCTAGGAGTAAGTTGACACTTGTATCAAGTCGAAAGTTTGAGCCTTCCTTCCAAAATTGATGTTCTCCAGATAACCATTGTGGTCCATTCCACCAGAGAGATTAAAGAGCCACGAGATATTAGGTCAGCAGGATTTTCAGTGCCAACAACATGATTCCAATGGCTTATGTTTGTTAGGGATTGAATTGTTGAGATTCTTTTTGCAACAAATGTACTGTAATGAGATGATGGGGAATTGATCCAAGAAAGAACAACAGTTGAGTCAGAATAATAATAAATGTAACGTGTTACTATAATTTATAGTAACGGTACAGGACTCATAGGATCGTTAAGGCTCAATATAATCAATCTAGTGTTGCAAGCGACATTCTGAGTTGAATAATAATGATCTTAAATTAATTACTAAGCCAAACCACATCCATATCACAGCCATTTTGATGGTCTAATATTACTAATGCATCTAATTATTAATATAACAAGGAAAAGAACACTGAAAACTTGTGCTCAAAAGTACAATTTACATATTAATCTGAAATAATTTATAGTTCCCTAACCCCTTAATCCCCCTTTTTCTGAAAAGTTAGAACATATTCGTAAATCTCTTAGACTAAGGATAACTTATCAATTCGGCGATGGAGTCCAGCCTTGACCATCGAAGTCCGTCCATACCCTCTTGAATCCGAAACACGACTCTACTCTGTCTCTGCGCTTCCTACCCCTTCCCCAGTTCTCCAGCGATCAGCTGATCTTTACTGTCTGATGCGTCGCCGCTCTGACGCAAGCGTCACAAAGAAAAGGTTCCAGGAACACATACAAGCATTAAAATCAGGATACAAAACGACAATGAAATCAAATTTTGCAGAGCACCTAATCAAAACGTGAATAAAAAAATAAAAAAACTAGAAATTCTAGAATATGAAAAAAATTAAATTAAATTAAATGTCAAAGAAGATTTTCATACACAAATTACAAAAGATTTCCTCAAAATTTACTTAATACCATGAACAACAAAAAAAATTCAATATTTGAAAAAATAAATACCCCCGCCGCAGCAAACCTTCAGACTAAGCGAATTTCCATTTGCCTGATTGGATTTACACTAAAATGTCTCCTTAAAAATATCACATTTATTCCCTTTTTAAATAACATTAGTTTAAAGTACTTAGGTTTGCTGCAACAGGGAGGGTAAAAAGGTGTTTTTTTGTAAAATAATAATAGTTTAGTACAAAATTAATGCATTTTCCAAATTTGATCAAAATATGTTCATAAACAAGCAAAGTACAACAGTTTACTTATTCTCCATAAGAATAATATTGGAATTTTAAATTTACAGATTTTTTGAATTTTCTCCTTAACCATTAGGTGCATAATAACGCTTCAATATATAAATAAATTTGTTTTTTTTTAAGCTCTACAAAATGGTTTGAAAAGAAATTGCTAGGTATGAATTTTGGGGTTTTCGCTTATATCTCGAAAACGGTGCATCGGAGGGAAATATTTTCAGTTAATAAAATGAAGTTCTAAAAATTATCTAAAACTTTTTGTTAAACTAATAGGTGAAACCTGTCGAAATCGATGGTTGCTTCAAAGGCTTGCGACAATTCTTCTAACTGCGACAAAAAGAGTGAAGTTCGGTTATAAAAAATGAGAGCATTTAGCATTGTTTAATGAGTAATAAATAGGTGTAGAAACAATAATGACTATTGCGTTAGTTACAAAATATGGTTGATCATTCAATGAATAACATATTTCTTATACTGTCCGTGATAGTAGTTATTGTTCCTATGTTAACTGGTTTATCTTTTAGCGAATTTCCCATATAGGGAATAAGCTATTACTGTAGGTCTCATGGTAAGACCTGGACCTGGGACCGATTTATTTTTGTTTTGAGGTCAAATCAAATCAAAATCATCTTTATTCATTTTTATAATACAATATGTATACATAAATGGCGTCAATATAAAACTATTACTAAACTTAAAGACTAACATAGTGTTGCTTAGTTTTTGTATGGAATTCATTAAAACTATAAAATGCACCTTCAATTAGAAAAGATTTTAAAACATCTCCAGAGGCCAATAACGCATCCGTTCAAATTCATATATATATATTAGAGATGGGCCGATACCAAAAATTGTC